AGTGATTTATATTCGACATGCTTTGACCGATCAAGTATAAAACTATACACATACATCGCACATTAGGTCATATATATCCATGATATGAACGAGGATTATGTCATTGACAATGACTTGTCAGTAACAAATCCGTTGAAATTAAGAGTTAAGCAAATATATTTGCTCAGGCCATCTATTAATTAGGTGAAAGAGTTGCCAACCTCGGATGATTACCACAATCGCCAAGGTCAGAGTATGAGTTTATGTATGTGCGTCATATAACTACAGATGAAAAACATCCAGACATGACAGACGTATTCCATATGCGACGCACAACACCTGGGCGCATTTACGGGACAAAGTGTGAAAGCACATGGTCACCGTATGAGACAATATTGGGCTACAAGGTGTAATAGCTAGGAACTTCAAACTTGGCACAAATGTTTCTATGTAACACACGCGGCATGGGATTCATTCAATATAACAACATAATCTTCTAACTTGGCCACGATAGGAAATACGATTTAAAAGAACCATCACAGATCCATCAATTCATTATTAAAAAAACTATTAGAAGGTTACAGTGGCGGATCCAGCAAAATGTATTGGGGGGTCCAAGCTTCGCTTAAGATATACGGAGCGTAAATCGCAGAGAAGCTATGCTTAATCAAGATGATATGAGTCGTCATGCGTTTGGGAGGGGCCATGGCCCCCTGGCCCTCCCTCTAGATCCGCCACTTGAAGGTTATTACTTTTTGTTAAATCTGGAATTATTTCTGCTATGATTTTTTTTTTATTTTCATTTTTAACAATCTTGTAGAATTTAATAATACTGACTCTCCGCTTTTTCAGGGTTGTCTTTTTCATTTTTCGCTGTATTTCATCATTCGTCTTCAGAGAAATGTTTTGCTAAACCACAAAGAAAAAAATCGAAAACAAATACAAGGTATCACCTTGTATTGTGCACGTTATAATTGAATATATAATGTATTTTCCGTATATTAAAAAGGTCACCCATTGTACAGCGGCATAGTACCTTTGTGTGAATATTGAATTGTCGCCGAGGTAAAAGACATGTCATTGATGTGCATTGTATGAAATAAAACGCTAATCAAATTTACTTAGTTCGGAATTAATGGAATATAATATTTAACATTGAGTGAGTTGAAAAGAAAACAAGGAGAGTAATATAATTTAAAGATGGGATTTTATTTTACGGATCATGCACAATAGTCTTCATGAATTTAATTATATTTTGTTCTGTAATGCGACTCAAACGTCCAGCAGAAAAATAATATATATTTTAAAAATCTCATAATCCCAGTGACTTTAATTGGCAGGTGTAGACACGTATTCACGTAATTTGTTATTAATATTGGTCAGGTCGATAATCGATTGCTCCTCATATTAAATACCTCGTATTAGTTATTTACTTTACGTTGCATTTAGATCAAGATTACTATATATGCTATAAGATTGTCTATTCATAGGACTCATGATGGAGAAATATTATTGTGTCTTCATTGGACACAGTGTTTTAAGTTTAATATTATCATGTTATTTTACTGAATAATAATAAAATAATTAGTTTGATACTTGGACAGCTATGACCGTATATATGTTGTTAAAGAAGAAACATAGGATTGTGCCATGGTCTGTTGTATGTTGTTAATATCATACATTACAGGTCAATTAGGAACATTGAAACTACGGACGTGTAGATGCGCAACATAGGAATTTTGAATGAATTAGTCTCATCTGCGGATGAATGTGCCTGTTCAACCGGTATAATTTTTTGTTGGTAAATAAGACTCATAAATCTATTTTGTGACTGGACATATTTCATTATGCACATAATGTAGAAAGAGTAACAGTTAAGAATACCGTAAGAACCGTAGTGTGCATAGTGTATATGTATATATGAATTGAGATGGTTGTATCTATAGTGATCGGTAATCTGGCCAACAAATTACAGGGCAAGATGTACTTCATTGATACTACTTAGCCAATTGATAGCCATTGTCCACAGCTTCCCTGGTAAGTAGGGAACACGCAAACCACTACTCCACGCTCAGGTCACTTGCAAGTGACATAACGCACATAGTATGTTATGCGTTTAGTTATCCTGTGGTACTGAAATGTATGTAGAGCAATCACGTGAGCGCGAGCGGAAGAACGAGTTAATTTGACAGCCTATCGCTGTGTGCAATTGATTTAATCTAATCCTAATGTCATGATAACTAACTATGTGTAGAGAACGAATAGCATTGTTCAAACTCGGTTTTAGTCTTGAATATTGGGCAGACAGTACAACCTCCATCACTGGCACCACCACCATCACAACAACAAGGACCATCAGCAGGGACATGATCGTCCAGGCATAACTAATGGCTATATTTGACCATGAGCAAGAAACGATGTTCTTATTCTGTTTGAACTGTATTATTTGAATTGTATTAATGTAAATAATGACGTACAAATAGTGTAGGAATCTAAAATCACTTGCTAGGAGTAATCCACATGGTTATCGTTAAATTACGTGTATCGTTCTTCTAATGATAGCTTCTATTTTAATAGCGATTTGCCAGTGTCAGATTTTCAGAACATCGCAAGATTTTACTTATGTGTTCAGAACATCGCGAGATTTGACTTTTGTGTTCACAACAACGCGAGATTTGACTTATGAGTTTCGAACATAGCGAGATTTGACTGATGTATTCAGAACATCGCGAGATTTGAGTTGTGTTTTCAGAACATCGCGGAACATATTTTGAACTAAGGATACGATGCATTCGATAAAATGACGTTGTCGGTGTCTCCTTTATTACTTGATTTGAATTGAAAGCCTCAAATATCGATTTTGCAGTATTTTTTTATTATGAATGTCCGTTAAAATGAAGAATAATGACACGCGGGAAGGCGTTACGTCAATCAAATGTCTTAATTTGTCTTAATAGCCTGATGAATTGATTTAAACCCCCGTGGTGTTCATATACTATGCACGTACTACTACTTCTAAGTCGTCTAACTTATTGATAACCTGATATATTGGTTACTGATTTATTACTCGATTCAATTGAATTTGAATTTCTTGGACGTGTTGTGTGCGAAATTAGTGGTTTATCACATACTACTCTATTTACATTTTAACATCATACATAAAAAAGCCGTTTCTTTTCGCTGCTATATATATATATATATTATATATATATATATATATTTATTTTACAACAGATTTTAAATAAAGTGCCAACTTATGGAAAGATCCATATTTTTTGCAAAAAACTGCGACATGTTTGAAATGTTCGGCTATTTTTGTTTCGAAATAAAATACGGTAAAATACAATAACACAATACTCTGTCGAACATAGATCACACGTTGTAATACAGTGTTACTTCTAGATTCGTACTCTCTGCAATAAATTATTCACGCGACATTTGAAAACGAGGCTTTATTCACACAGTACGCAGTTATGATTCAACTCTGGGAATCGTAAATTATATTTATTTATGCTAGATGCACAATTTATTTATTATTTTAAATATAACAACTCTAATTGTGACAATTGTTAATATATTGTGCAGAGAAGAACACTAAAATTTAAAAAAAAATGTTTTTTTATATATCATTATCATTATAAAATAATAATACAAATATTTTTCTGACAGTTTCTTGTTTATTGAAAATCCAAGATTAGAAATAGCGTTTTCATTATACTATGTAAATACTTACGTAATACACATTCACATGTTTTTCTACTTTATTTATAACTCCAACATATTTGTTGTTAGAAGCTGTTCTGCAAATTCATGATTTCATTATTTAAAAAACGCATACCGGTACATAAAGAAGATACAAAAGATACTTTTTGAAATAAAAAAGTGTTTATTATCGTAAGCAGTATATGGCATGTAATATAAAGGGTACATCTTTTTGTTGATGAAACATTTGTATAAGGATTGTTGTATCTTCATTTTCTCAGCGAAATTATTGTTCTCCGTTACCTTAAGTTTCTTTGGTCTGTTTTTTCATAGCTTATTGGATCGAATACATTAGATACAACTTGTGAATTTTGAATTCAATAAATTCACGAATGAGCACGCGCAATTGTTCTGTCAGTGTTCTAGAGAGATGTGATTGGTGATGAAAATTATGAAAACGGCCCACTTAGAATTCTTAGATGTGTTGTGTTACTTTGACGCGACAGCTAGTTTGCCTACATTTGTTGAATGAATATACTTGTAAACTAATAAGAATGTGAATTGTATTTTGTCCAACTTTATTGTGTAATAAAAAACACGTTTACTGAATTTTACGAAAAGTTCGTAAACTTGTATGTGGATGCCTACACCATAGAATCGATATATTCGGAACAGAACCAAGGCTGGCATAGTAAAATATCTGCTTCAAAATGCATGAAAATGACTGAAAAATGAAGGCGAAACAACGACGATTCGACCTGCGCAACCACGGCAGCTGATAAACAAACAAAAAAACAAAAACTTATCTATATTTAATATCAACAATTCTGAATTACTCTACTTGACGTCAGTAACCCCGAATTTGAAAAATGAATCCTCACAGAATATATAATTCGGATTGGTTTACAATATCGTAAGTAGGTATAACGTAAATGGCGCCAGTGCCGGCCAGACTGACCACTCAAGTTCGTGCATGGATAACCAGTTACTGTACTACTGTACTTCACGCGAGACCGAGACCCAACGTATATAGATTCAGTTTTGGGTCGGTTACATTAGCAAACGCGCAGATTCTATGTGTCAGTGCTAGAGTAGATAACTTGGGTGAACTATTTTCAGCTGGCATTTACAATAAATATAACAATATATGACCAGCAGCTACTGAAAATTGTTTAGAAATAACATTCTTAGTTACTGTAAAATGCGTAAAGCACGATTGCACGCGAATTGTATAGAAGTTAGTTCACTGAAAGCATAGACAAGACACGTTGTACATCACTGTTACATTCAACTCGGTAATAACCACGGTGGCAATAATGTTATGATGTGTTTAACAATCCAGGTTCATATATCTTCATGCTGTATTGTGGAATGTATAAACTCTGTGCATTTGTTTCAGGAACATATGTTGTTCTGTTATTGATATTCATCCGTGGTTTATTGGAGGACCTGTCATTTAGAGTCAGTGCAGGATCATTGCCATACTTGTCACGAAAAAATATATCTCCCCCTGAGACTGCAGATATATCTGTCGTTCGGTTCACGGCCAATGCACCTTTCGAGCAGAACACGTGACAAAAATCGAAGATAAGTTCCAAAAACTCGAAGCATGTGAGAATCGATACTCCAATCCATAATCCGATAAGTCCCCCGAAGTCACTTCCCAAATCACTGAACTGAAAATATAAATTAAATTGGTTAATATATACTGGTGACACTTTCAACGGGAATTATTCTTTTGTTATATTATTATTAGCATATAGTATATTCACTTCCCATGAGAAGCGCGTCCGTATGTGGTGTAAATGTGACTTTAATGGGTAAAAGCAATGGGGGCGAATAAAATCACGGAATTTCGCTCGATATATCAGATAAAAAAATCTTGTCGTACACAAAGATGGTGAGCAAAGTTTGATTTTGAGGGATTATACTTTGAACTAAACTAAATGGCATCCAAGTATTTAATATGTATATTTAAAAAGTCATTTTCTTTTCAAACGTGGTACTGAAATAAATATACTAACATGTGTACGTGAACAGATTCTCTCTCGAGATTCCAAATGATCAACCCTTATTCTGTTTTAATTTTTTATTTTGCTCACCATTTCCGACAAGGTTTCTTTATTAGATTTTGCTCACCGAACTTAGCTCATCGACATTTTGCTCGCCAAATTCTGCTCACTACTTATCCAACCCCAAGGCAATGTCACTTCAAAACGACAGCTGTGTTTGGTCGTGTGGTTGCTCGTCATATTATACAGTAGTAGTTTATAGTAAATCTCTCAAAAAAGATGCCCCATTTGTTGTGAATTTAAAATACTAATTAAAAATCTTTTATCTAATGCGGTCGATTATGTAATCGAAATATAATTCGGAACGGGAATATTTCGTCTTTACTTACTAGATATGCCGGTTCTTGCTCAATAACTTCATAGTTTAATTCTTGGTAATATATATCGACTCGAAGGAGATTCTCGCTGTAGATAAAGCGAATAGTTCATTGGGTTATTAAAACACCACAGCTCAAAACAGCACGCTACAGTCAATCAGCGCGCCATTGCCGTCAAACAGCGCGCAATAATCGCGACGAAGAGTTCTATTTCTATAAACAAATCTTTACCACCACACGATCTTATGCTCGTCGCTGATTGGTCAATGCATAACAGGGGTACTATTTTAAAATGTCCACTAAAGCAATGTCATGCTGACGAATGCGTACGCGATGTTTGTAGATTCTGGCTTTTTTCAAAGTGAGAAGCTCATTGTTTACTTTCCTGAACACAATCGAATTCAAAGTAGGTCGAGTCAATACCACGAAATGTTTTCGTTTTTGTTATATTTCTTCGCCAGGCAATTGGCATGACGGTTAACTTGAAGAACCGAGCAACACCGTAGTAACCGCTTCATGCCGTGATGAAATTATTTCTTTGTAAATTATAACTGTTTTATTGTCAGCTATCAATAACATATTTTAAAACTTGTTTACCAGTAAGAAGAAATCAACAGAGAGCCCTTGAATAACAAAAACAGGAATATGTGTAGTAATATTTATTTAGCGTCCCATCACAAAATGGCAGTGTGTGGCGGGAAATCCCTTCGAATTAAATTTGTGTAAAATGTTTCTTTCCCGACCATATACACTAGCGGAACGTTATTTCTTCCAAGTGTTAATGTATCACGTGCGCCATTTCACTACAATAACATTACCTTGCAAAACGTAGTCCGCGATAAAATTGTTTGTATTTACGTTTTTACAGAAGTCAGGCATTAACTTCGGTTTCAAATGAAACAACTACGGGGAAATGGCGGTACGTAGTGAGGTGACTGACCACAAAATTGAAGTTTGTCTGTGGCAGAGGTACCATTGCGTAAAGCACAAAGACCGATGGGAAAGAGATTTCTTTGCTCAGTGATGATAATTAACACGTATCGAATTCGATGGAAGAGATACTTTTGGTGTTCTAACCGCAATTAACTCTGAGAATGAGAATGGTCGCAGTCGTCACGCAGCGCCAGACATGACGCAGTGCACCAGACGTCAGACAACGAACCATAAAGGCATCGTGCAGCTAGCGTGTGAATTTCGTGAAAACGCAAATAATTTTTGCACGTGTTGTATACATCGCATGGAACGGGACTAGGATGGGTTCAAATACTGAACAAGAACACAAAATCTTCACACCAAACATTTTTGGATGTTCCACCCCTAATTTCCATATTATGTCAGAGAATGACCATGTAGGCCTCTCTATGTTATTTGTTTAACTTACTGTTTAATTTACATCGCATTATTTTCCCTTTAGCTTAAACAAGTTATGTAATATTGGACAAATATATTAAAATAGATTTCATGAGTCAATTAACAATTAAATCGTGAATAAAAAAACTCGTAATATATATACTCTCGACTGTTTCTTTACTAAATAAATGTTGTTGAGCCTTCAAACACTTATTTTTTTTTATTATAGTGAATTTTGTATAGTTAAACAACAGAGTTCTATGTGTATAGGATCAATTGCAAGTACGAGGCCTCTTCTGAAATATAATTTTAAACTGAGATGTATCATGTGAAAAGATCCGCCAATCTTAGTTCAACCTTCCATAGAATCAAACTGGTTAATTTGAATATTGAAAAATATCCAAAGAATTTTCCCGGAATTTTTTGTTAAAGAAGATCGTTTTGAAGTGTAACTTTTGATTTTGTCCTCCCAATATACTACTACAACCCATGATTAAGTGAAACGACGCATTATAAACATTTTTTTTATTTAGCATTTTGTTTATTAAACAAAAATGGCTGTAGTGGTTACAAAGATATTAGGCCTCGGTATGACTCCACCATTATCATTGCTCGAAAATTCTAGCTATTTACTTAGGACGACAACGATTACCAAATCTACTCTGTAAGATTCTACCTACTTTGTTATGAACAAGACTGGTGCGAAACCTTTTCACAAGAAAGTATATTGGTATTCAAATGGGAAACATATGCTTGAACTTGACTACAAGATTGTATGGCACAACAGATGATTTGACAATTATCAGACTCACTCTACCAATGGAATACACATCTCATGACCATTTTGCTATGTCCAGGGCCTTAGTACATATGCATAGTTTTTGAGGAGACATCGTCTTCCGTCATTTGTACAAACTGTTAACCAAAGGCGTTGTATGGAACGCAAATGCGCCTAGCCAATGTAAGCTGCGCGCAAACACTACGTTTCTCTACCCCCCCCCCCCAAAAAAAAAAGAAATGTTGATTCCAGGCATATAGTGGATGTAC